GTAGTGGCAAATTCTCAGTATTTGTTTATCTGAAAAAGACCGTATCTTTCCTTCTATTTAAGAGGGATCTTGCCACCATGACCAAATACATGGGGTAACAGAAGGAATAAAACTCATGAATGAATTATTCACCATTCCCTAAAAATCTCTATGCTTTTATTAACAGTGCCACTGTAAATTATCTCTTCTCCCATTTCCATCTGTCCAGATCCTATTTATCTCTCCTTCCCCAGTACAAAGATTGAGGTGACTGGCAAAATTCGCAGAGGGTATAATTATAATTATAATGCTGGGTAAATTGTAGTCATCAGTTAACATTCTACCTATTACACAAAGCCTTCCATCATCCACTCACTTCTACATACACACTTAGAAATGAGATCTGCTCTGTCTCTGCTCTCCTTCCTTGTGTTTGCATCCTGCAAGGTTTCAGAACAATTGGACCAATGCTCATGATGGGCATGAGCATTGAGATTTCTTCTTCTATACTCTGCTGTTGTTAGGTAACAGCAAGCAAATGCCATCTATATCTATAGTCAGCATTGGTACATTGACAATAATGGTGCCCAATGGATGCCACAGCTTCATACAGAACAAACATCACAGCAGTCTCTTCAGATTCTAGGTCGCTGCCACATGGGTGAGAAGAACGTACGATTACTGTGATTATAGTCACTGCGTAGAGAGATGAATTTCTCAGGCTGCCAGGATCACAACAGCAGTTATCTTCAGTCCAGAGTTATGGTAAAGCTACACTTTACCCACCTATTCCGAAAAGAGGTACCTGAGCACAAATGCACAAATGGCACAGTTTCAGACTGGGGCAATCCCGTAACCTCACTATCTGCTTGGCTTGCCTGGAATGAGCATGTGACCCATGTTGGCCATGCAGTCAGCTTGAGAATCCCAAATCCCTGAAACCAGGTCCAGTGTTCTTCCCATTCTAGCACTTGCACATTCTCCTTCTCTACATATCCTGGGATTTCTAGATGCTGATTTGGTTTTGCCTGGAGGCAAGGACTTCTACTGCTGGAACACACGGTAATGGTGGTAGATAGTTCCGCAATGCCTGTGACCTAAGCACGTGTAGGGTCTCTTAAAAATCTTTTCAGGAATTGTGTATTGGTGTGATGTTGGACTATAGATTGAGGGCTGTTGTAAGATTCAGCCTATTAATCTTTTCATATCATCAATTATACAACCGCTGCTGAGATTGTTGTCTTGCATGAGCAGTCACCTAGTGAACATTCTCTAATTTATTGGAATCTTATTGTTCTGCTTCAGCTGGGTGCTTGGGGGGTGGCATTCCTCTTCAGGATGGCAGCAAGATAACTGGGAATTTTCAGATACCCTCTCCTCTGAGAACCCTTGAGCCACAAATACAACTCTTGGATAGCATATGTCACTTTGTGAGGCCGTCTTTTCTAAACTAGTGTCCTTCCTTCACAGGCTGTGTGCTCTATGAATGTAGGTGTGTTTACTTTGACTCCTAAGTGTCTGGCATGCAAGCTAGAGAATAGAAGATGCTCAGTATCTGTTTATACCGTAAACAGTAGAATAAGTGAGAGATACTGTTATGAAAAGCCCACTTAATGATATATTCAGGAATGCAAGTGGATAGGTTAATTGAAAATGTCTGTTAATCAGTATTCATAAAAAGGGAAACATTTGTAACGTGAATATTTCATTTTTACCTAGAATTCATTCACTAAAATAGAACTAAACTACAGAACATTCCTTTGTGTAGGGTTTGCAAATAGAATTCTACGCTTATCTTGCTGAAAGCATATCTATCAATCATTGTCTATGATTTGCAGTGTGGATTCATTTAAATGTAGATTCTAGCGTCAGATGCATAGCATTCTCACTGAGTATATTGCTCCATATTGTTAATTTTTGTTTAATCTGGTAGAGTTGGCAGACTCACACCTATTAAACTAACAATAATTTTGGAACCTGCTTTTATTGTCCCTTTAAGCATTCACATTAGTTTGTATGGAAACCGCAGTTCTTTCATACTCGTATTTTGTTGATTTGTGGTGTATTTTGATAAATTAGGTAATTATATTGACAAGCCTAATTGTCAAAATCAGGACAGGAAACAGATCCAATTGGTTCTTGTGAAGCTGATGACTCAGTGCCCTTGAGCCCAGGTGTACTAGAGCATCAGTGAATGACCACAAAGGCTCAGCATTTGCTCAGCATCAATCCATGTATTTTCTTCAGGAAGTGGAAAGAATTGGATATAGAGATGGAATGTATTAGTGTGAGACTTATTTGAAAGGTGTTTGCTTTTATGCAGAATTAGCACAGTGCTTGATGAATTAGGTTCGAATGTTTGTTGAATTCATGCCTAAAAAATAGTCATGAATGGCAGCTCCCAAAAAGTGCCATTAGAGACTTTTATATCATTTCTCCCTTTCTGGGGAACATGCCTGGATGTCCTGCACGCTCTTCTTCGACATGGAACTGAGAGGAAATGATATCATTGGCCTGGGAAAGAAAGCATTTCACTAGCAGACTCCCACATCCCCTCCATTCTTCTTCCCGGAGGCAGTGAGCAGACCTGCAATGAAAGGGAACAGCTGTTCTCAGAAAAACCAACTGCAGAGGACACTCTGTTGTGTGGGAGGTACCTGTAGGAGTTCCAGTGAGACCTGGTGACTGAGCCAGCCTTTGCAAGATGTTGGACACACCTGTGATTTTCAGGTGGGAGCTTCTTGAGAAAAATAGTTACCAAGACTTCTAAATTCCACACCTAGTCTGTTGCACCAGAAATTCAAAGACATGTTCTCTGCTCTTAAAGACCTCAGAATGTGGTTGAAGAGAAAGATGTGAGGACAAACAATTGAAATATACTGTTATAAGTGCTGTAGTGGAGCAATGTGTGAGGCCAAGTGAGTTCAGAATGGGCTTCAGGGACGGAATCTAAGTTTTCATAAAGTTGAAATTTTCTTCCGTCAAAAGAAAAAGAGTCACTAACGTCAAAATAAGCAGTGGCCCAGGTGAGAACCAACATTATTTAATTCAATTGCCAAGTGAAAATTCACTACAGAATTCCTCATGATAAACATCTTTATCCAGAACTGTACAATTGATATCACAGACTCCCAGAATAGGCTCTCTCAATAACCCTCAGCCTGAACTAAAGACATCATATTAAAGCTCCTTGCCTGGAGCATTGGCTGCAAACACTGCCTTTCCACTTCCTCCGACACGTAGGAAAGCCTCACCTACAGCTATGTACTACTATGGCATTTGGAAATTGAGGGTGGACAGATAGGATTCAGCATCAGCAGAGTGCTGGTCCTGGAAGAGCAATGGATCTGGACTCAGGGGACCTGAGTTTGACATTGTGAACAATGTGATACGAGTCACCAGTAAATTTGGTTGGACAAACGGAGAACTATAGACCTCTTTATTGCTTTCATAACTGCTTTGTACTGTCTCCTGCATACTCAAAATGCATGTGTCAGCTCCCCTCAGTGAGGGTCAATCTGAGGGGCAGCCTCACTGTCTGTGAGCAGCACACAGCCTGCTGTGATGTCACATCTTCTCTTGGTGGTCTCTTCTGTCTGCTTGAGTTATCTGTTGAAGGGATAACCACTAGTGGAGCGTAGTCCTGAATTTTGTACTGATCCTGTGTTTATAATTACATGTTTTTAATTGTGGTAAAATGTTCATAACATACATTTTACAACTTTAACCATTTTAATTGTACAATTCAATATCATTAAGTACATTCACAATAAGTAGTAACCGTTACCACTGTCCCTTTTAAGAACTTAATCATTCCGCACAGAAAGTCCGTGCTCATTAAATAATTGGCTACACAGTCTCTCCATCATCCAGCACCAGGATCTTCCTAATTTATTTTCTGTGTTCAAGAATTTCCTAGTTTGGATACCTTGTAGAATTTGATCTTACAATATTGTTATTTGGTATCTGGCATATTTTCCTTAGCACAATGTTTCCGTGTTCATCTAAGTCACAACTTAGAATTTTGTACCATGTATCAGAATTTTGTACCAACTGTAAGTTATTATCCAGATACTATAATTGACATTAGCATGGAAAAGTCAGATGTTTTCAGTTTTGCTTCTTATGTTAACAGTCATAAAACTGACTGAAAGTTACACCCAGAACGATTTGTACAAAACCTGGAAGAATGAAGAATTCTACACTTAAAGACTCTGTAAATGAATAATAAATGGTTTTCAAGATAATTCCAGTTTGAAACCAATATTGAGGTTTCCAATGGCCAAAATGGAACTGGTGGGGTATATTTATAGGCTCCTCACTGGTCCTTTAGTCCAGAAAGAGCTAAATAAGCACTTACCAGTTCTCAAGGGGAAAGGGCCATGGTTGTCTTTTCTAGAAACCAAGGCCAAGGTGTGACCATGTGTGGACAAATGACGGGAGAGGGCTATTCATAAAACCAATTTCTAAGACTGTTTTTATGAAGGGAGAATCTCTCTCTAAGGACATTATTTTGCTTTATATCTGAGAATTCAATGGAATTTAGAGGTAGCAGAACTCACTTATTCAGAATCGAGTTTCCAACTGCAGTAATGCCTCCAGTCATAGAAGGGAACATGATTTTCAGGGAAACATAATCTGAGAGATTATTAAGGAATCTTCCTTTTTGGTACTATCAGGTAGAAAACAAGTATAAACAGTGTTTTAGGGTTTTGGACAGGAACTCCTTTTATTACTATGAAAAGTGCAGAAAAAGTGTTCAGTAGGAAGGATTCAGTGTAAGATAACAGGGAAAATGTGTTGGTGATATCAAGGAGAATCTAAACATTGTACTGTCAGACTAATGCTTTGCGTGGGTGAAAACTGGAACTGTCAGGTTAGATAAACATCTATTTGAAGACCTTGAGTTACCACTGAGACATTTCTGAGGCACAACGCTAAGAAAAACGAATATAATTGTCAAGGTTGGCAGAGCAGTGTTGGTCTCAAAGTCCCGTCTGACTGACAGGGCAGGGGCTCTTTCACTGCCTACATCTGCTTACCGACAGCTCCAGGGTTTCCTCAGGAAGCCGCCCTCCACCTTCATCCACCTCAGGCGTGTCCTGCAGAGCCCTCTGGAGAACCAGCTTCAGGTTCTGCCTATTTTGACGCTGCCTAAAGGAGCCCACGAAGAAGTAAATGATGGGGTTGGCACTGCTGTTTAGAGAGGACAGGAACATGCAAACCCGATAAACGTGACAATATAAGACTTCCAGATCCCTGTGGATCATGTAATTTAGGGATCCCAGAATGCCGAAGGGCAGGCCGCAGAGGAGGAAGACCAGCACTGTGAGCAGGATGGTCACGTACAGCCTGGTCAGCGGCATCTTCTGGGATCCACAGAGAATCCTGACCAGCCGGACCAGGCTAGAAACACAGAGAACCACACACAAAAAAGTCAGCCACGCGATTATGATGAAATTTGATGTTTCACACCAACAAGAATCAGCACCACTAAACGGGAAGTCACAGAACATCCACTCCAGGATGCTCCGCAGCAGGGACAGGACCCAGAGCAGGACACACACGACCGCTGACAGGTGTCTAGGGCGGCGGCAGCGGTACCACATGGGCCATAGGACGGACAGGCAGCGCTCGGTGCTGATGGCGCTCAGCATGCTCAGGCCTGTAAGGTAGGGGACGGTCATCACACAAATGAGGATTCTGCGGGTGGTATGGGGGATATTGATGAGGCTTAACAGAAAACGTAAAACGTGGCCGCTGAGGAAGAGGAAGTCGGCCACAGCCAGGTTGAGGATGTAGGTGGAGACAGCGTTCCTGTGCATGCGGAAGCCCAGGAGCCAGAGCTCAACCGCGTTTCCTGTCAGCCCCAGAAGGGAAACGATGCACGTCAGCACCGTGAGGCTCAGGGTCAGCTTGTAGCAAGGAGTCTCCACAGTTCCGTTGATTCGTGTCACTGATGTACCCAGGGCTGGGATGGTTGGATCCATGCTCAGAAACCCCAGTCTGGTGCTCCTGGGAACACAGACCAGATGTGATCACCAGCTGTGTGATCTCTGATTCTCCCCACCACCCTGCCATGTGGGATTTTTACTGTCCTCATTTAAAGAGGAGAGATCAGAGACTCGCAGAGAATAAGTCACCTATCAAAAGGTGGGGGTCCTCAAATCCAGTTTTAAATCCAGTTCTTCTTGACTCTGAAGCCTGACCTCTCTCTACTGCCACACAAGTTCTGTACTGACATGGGAATAACATTAGGATCAAAACACCCCCAACTCATCCAGCCCGGGTTGTGGACCCGATCATTACTGTATCATGAGCCTGATATTTTATCTCAGATGGAGAAAGTCAGATACACAAAGAGGTGGCTGTGACACACTCGTGACTAGGACAGGAAAGAAGACCATGCTTTATGAATGAGAGGAAAATGTGACCTTCACTAGGATAAGTGTGAAAATGGCTGGGCCTGGTGGGTGAGAAATAACTCAGTGTATTAGTCATTGCAGACAGGACCACATTTTACATTTTATACTCACAGTGCCTATTTCCATGACCAGCACACTGTGCTCTTCATAAACATTCTTTCAATGAAGGAATGCATGCATGAGGAGCCTAATGGTACTGCTAGATTTGGATGAAATGGAAAATAAAGATGAAAGCACAATATAAGGTATTAGAACACAAATGTATAACTGGATGAAGAAAATTTCATTCATCAGAATTCTATTTGTGGACAGCTCTATCTGTGTTGAGAAGAATTATTGATGAGTGCCCAAAACCTGAAATTGACAACCGATGTGCCTTTGAAATGAAGACTCAGTGTGGCTTTGCTGAACACCTAGAAGCATTTTTGTACACAGTGTTTGGGTAGGGTGTGGGTCTCATCTGAATTACTCAACAATAGAACAGAGGAAAGAGTAAGTGCAGATGAGGTCTGAGTATAACTGACGGAGGTAACAGAAGTGTGGAAATATCTATGGGGGACTACTAAATGTTCTGCTGAGTGTACACAATGTAAACCTATTTCATTCTCTCTTTCAGGAGATCTCTGGTAGCATTTCTTTGTTGATGAAAACATTTGTATGAGAGGTGTCCATGAGGGGAAATAGGCGACGTGTAGGGCTTGGAGTATAAAGAGAGATATTCATGCAGATTTCAACTGGAGAACGAGGATTAGGTCTAATCTGGGAGAATAATAGTAGCTGATTGAGAGTTTATAAGGTATTGTCTCTTTTAATCACCTGAAGAGCCCAGGAGGTAAGAATTGGTATTATTCCCATATGGCAGATAATGCAATTAGAGCATAAAGAAAGGGAATTATTTGTCCCAGGGGTTATATATGATATAGTGTGAATTTGAGTCCAGCAGGGCTGACTCACGATCCAGTCTTGGAGCAGCCATTTATACCCAGCACGACCCTGAGTCGATTATACATGTTAAAGGGAGTAAAGCAGAGGAGTGATTCTCAAGTTAAATCCAAGTTGGCAGTCAAAATTGTGGATTGAAAAAAAACTGACCTAAGCAAACTCCAGATAGGGAATGAGAGGCAATTCAAAGAGGGAACAAAATAGAGATGAATGAACGCCATTTAGGAATAAATTCAGGAGTTCCTTTTTGCCTATCAGAGGCCACGTTTGCTCTGGAATCCTAAGGATGCACAGGGGCAGGAGGCCTCCTGGTGGACAGAAGATGCACCCTTTGCTGGGAGTACAGAGAAACATCAGGAGGGAATGCATCCATCATGAGTTCTCTTAGAGGGACAAGCTGGCACAGCCCTGATTAGCCGAGAAAGGAAATGGGAGGAAAAGGAGAACCTCTGTTATCCACACTCAGGGCACTAAAGAGTTTCTCCGTCTATATTTATGGTATGATATGTTTGTCCTCCTCGTGAAATCCGAAGCTCCACAAGGACTAACTCATACCCATCATTTTCCCTGTAGTATCACCAACATTTAGCCTGTGTTCCTTAAAGACCATCTATGGTATTATCCTCATATAACATAAGATGAAACCAAGGCCTAGAGAATTAAAGGGTTTTCCTGAGTTCACAACAGGAAGAGCAGGTCCAACACCAGTCCCTGGTCCCTGGAGCCCTGCATGAGGTCCCAATTCTGTTCTCTGCCCCATCATTCATTATTTCTGAGGAGTTCCTGAAAAATCTTGATGTGAGCACAGAGTCAGAGACAATCAGGAGTGAAGAGACTGCTAGGTTGCCCCAACATTCATTTTCCTCTTTGGTCACATAACAATTCTGAGAGTGTAAAAGCAGCACAAGGACCCACATCCCAGTTTTCCTTGGTGCTGAATCACATCGTATGGCCAGGTGCTGTTAAGTGGAAGAATCACAAAGTGATGTAAGCAATTCCTCACTCACGGGATCAATAGAAGGAGCAAAGCCTCTCCTTCCCCTCGTCCTTTTCCATAAGGCTGGAATGCTGATCTAGCTGGAACCATGCAGGATCACAAGGATGAGGGCAACTCTCTAGGGACTGGGGAGCAGCAATTTTTGGAATTCTGATGTGTGATGCCTTGGAGCTTCTAGTTCAAATTTCAAAGACAGTCATTTCTGGGTATTCACAGGGGACTTTTTCCAGAATTCAGCACACACCAAAATCTGCAGATGCTCAATTTCTTTATATGTGGTATTTGTATCTAGCCTATGCACTTTCTCCCAGATACGTTAAATCGTTTTTAGTTATTTAGAATAACGACAAAATGCAAATGCTATGTAAATTCTTGTCATATTGTAGTTTTTCCAGAAATAACGACAAGGAAAAACAAGTTTGTACCTGTTCAGTACATACACAACTCAACCATACCCTTATTTTTGGAATAGTTTCCACCTGTGGTTTGTTGAATCTGCAGATTCAGAACCTAGTGACCCAGAGGCACAATTATACTTTCTTGTTTAAGATATTTCTACTTCATGTCTTGTTTAGAGCAGCCAAACTTATATTCTAAACAAATAAATATGTTCTCTTTTTAAAATTACATTTTATTTTCTATGCATTTTTGAAAAATGCAAACATTTCTGCATAAAAGTGACAGTAGAGAAAGACATGCCAAACGTTAAAGTAGTCTGATGGAGCTGAAATGAGACAGGAATCAATCACCTTCAGGCAGAGAAAGCCTCAGGAAGTAGGAGGATATAAGAAGGTGAGAGGGATAGTCTCATTTGCCATGAGGATTTGCTTTCCATTCTTTATCCTGTTTGACATCCCAAGGGAGTGGCTTCTAGGTACCACATCAGTGGGATTCTTTTTATTTCTGGTTTCTGATGAAATTGAGACACTGGGACATACCGGCAGGAGACTGGAAGACAGCAGGAGAGTGACTTGGGATTTCCACCTCCTGGCTCTCTGTTGGTGTATTAGTTCCTTCTTGCATTGCTAAAAAGAAATACCTGAGACTGAGAAATTTATGAAGAAAACAGGTTTAATTGGCTCATAGCTCTACAGGCTGTACAGGAAGCATAGCAGCTTCCGCTTTAGGGGAGGCTTCAGGAAGCTTCCAATCCTGGTGAAAGGCAAAGGGGGAGCGAGGCTTCTCACACAGTGAGAGCAGGAGCAAAAGAGAGAGGGAGGAGGTGCCACACATCTCACACGGTGAGAGCAGGAGCAAAAGAGAGAGGGAGGAGGTGCCACACATCTTACACGGTGAGAGCAGGAGCAAAAGAGAGAGGGAGGAGGTGCCACACGCGTTTAAGCAATTAGATTTCGTGAGAACTCATCAGTGTCACAACAACAATACCAAAGGGGGATGGTGTTAAAACATTCATGCGAAACCATCCCCGTGATCTAATAATCATCTCCCACCAGGCCCTCCCTCCAACATTGGGAATTATAACCAGCATGAGATTTGGGTGGGGACACAGATCCAAACCATATCAGCCTGTGTGGTTGTGTGTTGGCCATGCAGGGCTTCTCCACCTGCCTGCTCATGTTCTTCCACCCCTATGGCTACAGCTATGGCTTTGGCGACAATGGTAATTGCTCCTTCCCCGTCCCTTTCAGCTTAGGTGAGGAAGTAGTGCTCCCCTATGTAATGCTGCTTAAGGTGCTGACCCATGCCTCGTCTCTTTCCCTTAACCCTGTGCATCTTTGTAAATACTTTCCTTATGAAACACTCCTTAATTATTTCAGTTTGGACTATCTATAACTCCCTTGGTCCTTTCCAGATAGGTAGAGAAGAATAAATTTAAAAAGGAAGTGAAGCAATAAAACCGGCTCTACAGCAGTTCAACTCTGGGAAGAAATGTCTTCATGTCCCCTTGCTCCTTAAATGAGTGTAAGAGGCAGCATTCTCTCCAGGAGAGCAGATTGAGTGATTGGAATGAAGGAGGTGATATGGGGATAAATCAGAAGGGGGACCCCATTTGGAACTCACACAGTTTGGGCTGGCAGCACTCAGTTTCCAAAAGGAAGCTTCATGTCTCTTGTCTTTTCCTGAAACAAGCTCGTGACTCCCTGATGTAGCACCAAGGTGGAAGCACAGGGACATGATCTTATAGCAAAAACCGTAACTGACTATGGAAGAAGACAGTTCTTGGTACTTACCCTTATGGTTCCTTCTTTTGTCCTGTGGTGAAGACGCCTCTTGTGCTAAAGGTGGAGAGCCTTTCTGCGATTCAGTGGCTTCAGAGGACTTTTCTGTGTTGCTTAATTCAGGAGATGCCTACAGGAGCTCAAATGAAAGCTGGTTAGCAATCCAGGCTTATGAAGATGCTAGACGAACTCGTTATTTCCTTTATGAAGACTGTCGACAAATCCGAGGCCAGAGGTATTTGAGGCACAAATCCTAACTGAGATGATTCTTGGCCTCTGTCCCATATCCAATACATATCAGCCTCTCCCATCACATCCCATCTTGTTCAACTTCCTGTAAGTAATTGTTATCCTGATTTTGAAAATCAATTATGGGCCTAGGTATCACATTAAGCAATGTGAACTTTCATTATGAAGCTTTATAACTAAAGAAAAAAGTAGATCTT